GGTGACAGTAGGTGGATTGATTGTAATCTCCACTTGAAATCACTGCTTCAGGGCTACAAGTAAATGATTTTGTCTGCTCCTGTTTGATCTTGAACTCCTCACTAGCATAGTAGTGTGTGGTGGCTGTGCCAACTGTTAATCCACCTTTTGTTTTGAACTGCTTGCTGCTGTAAATCAACTCAAGAATTCTTCCTCCTTCCCTTATTGGATAGATCCTAGGGCCACCGTGTTAAGCCAAAAAAGGGATGAGAAGTAACAAAAGTAATTATGGATTGTATCTACGTATGGTCCTAAGTCTAGGTAAGGGAAAATTCTAAGTTGATTTACTATTATACTCTACTTCATGGTAAAGGAAGAATTCTAGGATTCCATGATTCTATGTTTGTGATAATAGAATAACTAGAGGAATTCCAAACGGAATATTGCTCTATGTTTGTTTGTGAGAGTGAGAGAGAACGATACCTTGATCTATAAGCCGCTGCCAACTTGAAAATCTGAAGAGTAGTCTTTGAACTATGCCTTGTGAATGGTACAAACTTCTGTCGTCCCTCGGTTGTTCCAGAGCTGGTTAGTTTTCATAGTCCATTGATGTAATAGTTGGCCAAAGTGAGAACAAATGAGAAAAACTTTTTGTTGAACAGTATTGAGTGGTTGGTGGTGATTTTCTTTCAATTTATCTGAAAGATACATTTTTTTTTAGTTTCTCGATACCAATAATTGGTATAGATTTGTTGTCTTCTTGCAAGTTCAAGTTGAACTGTTTCTCAATTAATTATTCAGCAACGCCGGATGGGAAAGAAGAGAAAGAAGATAGGTAATATGAAGCCATCAATTTCTAATGTTTCGAAACTGTACTTTATTGTGTAATCATTTGATTGCATGTCGAAAACAACGAAGAAGGAAAAGAAAGGGATGATCAAGAAATCAAGTAAGAAAGCTCAACCTCAGAGATGATAAAGAAATCAAGTAAGAAAGCTCTACCTCAACGAGAGATTTGTGATTGCTTCTTGAGTGAGTAGAGGAGCGTCGTCTCCATCAGCAATTCTCTGAATATAATGTTCTAAATCCGCATGGGAAGCAAGAGGAACCAAAGAGGTAAAAAGGGATTCCAATGCATTTTCTTCCATTTCTTGAATGTTGATGTCCCGAAACCATTTCTTGAGGTACTCAACTCCATAATTCAGCCGAAGAATTTGGCTGAGTGTTTGAGTCTGAACTGAATCTGCGGTTTCAGCTACTTCATCAAACCAACCGATGATATCATACTCTCCATTTCTCTCCATTTAGGCTGATGATGTTGCAGCTATCATGCAGCAATATTGCTCAATCTTATAAGCAACAAAAATGCAATAGTTGTTAGTGGAAGTTATCTTTTTCTCTGCCAATTCAAGTTAAGCGAGGAAAAAAAAACCACAATAGGTGCCCTGTGCCCACATGAATACTGAAAGATCCTCTTGGTATCTTGTCCTTGATCTTGTCCTCTATCAAAAAGCTCAACAAGTCTAACAAAATCTTCAAACACAATTTGTACGACTGCTTGTAGACCACAGGACTTCTTTTTATCGGATTTACTTGTATGAAAGAGAGAGACAGTGTGTATGATTTGAGTGAGATTCTTTGGCAATGGATGGAGACGAATGAGCGCGGGACCAAAAACCATTATTATTTTTGACAGCTAGACTTTACCTGCATTTCCCTTCCTTTCCTACCTTAAATGCTAACGTTACAGTGGACTAGGTTCTGACCATAAAAAGGTACATAGTATGATATTCTTTTCATGTCCTGGTGCTTTATGGTAAGATGATGCAACTACTAGGTGAACTTCAAACATGCAATTAAGCAATTCATGGTATATCCTTGCTGAGTATGACAAGTTGGTTAATGATCAAATAGTTCGTAAACTGATCTTGATTGAAGTCAGAAAGTTTTCTGAACTCATCTTTGTTCGTTTAGAGATTAGACTAATTGGACTAAATTTGAGGTTGCACCAATTGAAGTCTCTCTTATTACACAAGTGATATGGGCTGAGATGTAATAAACTATAGATGAAAAAGAAAAAACATACACTTGTAACTCTGATGTATAGTCTAAAGATCTTACTTTGAACGTTACTTCCATAATAACCATAACTCCGAAGCTCTACGGTATGAAAGTTACAAGCTGGGGCTACAATTTAAGAGTAGGCCAGCTTGAAATTTTGCAGCAAGACAAGAGGAAGTGAAAAAAAGGAAAAAAAAGTTTCTTTGAAGTTGGCTGATCTTGACTCTTGAGTTCTATTTTACTGTTCTAGTGCAATTATCTGAGCATTTTGGGGCAAATCTTGCTCGGGCCCTGCAAACCGAGGTGTTTCTTCCATATTATATCACTAGGAGACAGGATAGACTTCGAACTTTATCCTTTATGACACAATGCTACAAAAGTACGGTTTTGGAAGCACAGGAATATGGGATTCCATTAAGGACTTTTCCAAAATTCAATACTTCACAAGGAAGTAGACATATTCTCTGGAAACTAGTTCAAAATCTTGGGTAAAACCTTACCGGGATTACAGGATTACTTTTCATGCAATGGCATCATGGCATCATCCAAAAAATAGAAGAGGAAATGGAACAGCATATGGATGGTAACTGATTGTGTACAGGTTCAAGATAAGTGCACATTTACTAAGGAAATTTGTTGATATTTTGGTTACATGTTGCATAACCAGAATTATTTCTGTTGATAACATTTTGCCAAATGATCCTTGTTAAGATTTTAACTGTTCTCCAATTGATAGTTAAGTGATTAATCATGGAAATTATCCGTACTCATGACAGATTAATCAGAATGAGAGGAAGCCTTAATTAAAGAAGAGGATTCATGAGACATGTACCATTATTTGCTCAAAACATGACAGGTGAAATTTACAAGACCTTCATTCTCTTTCATTTCTGAAAAAAAAAATTCTGTCATAGACATTGTGGGTTTAACTTACTGACATGAACTTGGCCTATCACAAACCTCAAACCTCACAAAACTGTTAAAGGCATGACTGAAGAGCCATGAGGTATCATTTTCACCATTATTATCTAAGGAGATGTCATGATTGAAGAGCACAAGAGAACAGCAGGATTTTGAACTTTCACCATTAGTATATCATCAAGAACCTTCAGAAGGTGGTCCTTTTGATGAAGTACCAACTCATCACACAGTGTTTAGATTTATTGAGGCCAACTTGATGCTTGTGAGTACACAACTAAAGGGTTTAGTAAGTGTTAATATATATATATATATATATATATATATATAAAGAAAAAAGCTGTGTCAATTTAATTTATGGAAGAAAAAATTATAAGTACCTATATTGTGATGGGGAATATCCAGTCCTTATACTCCTTGCCATTCCCTTTCTCCCATCTTCATCATTCTTTAACCTTGGTTTAGATATTCACGCCAAGTGATGTGACGCCTACTGTACATGGTAAAATTTAGTTCTATATCTAAATTTGTGTGTCTCAATCTTTGAATTCGCACTATTATAAACATTATAAACGTGTACCAATATCCGAACAAGATGTTGATTTTGGATGAAAAAGCCAAAATTCACCTCGTCTGTAAGCTTTTGAATCCTAATAACAACACTTGCCAACCAAAAATTTTTTTAATATGAGGCCAGGTGCAGCGCACAACCAAGAAAATAAAGGGGGATGATATTATCATGGTAACTGACCATGATGGGAATGATATTGTCTTAATTGCCTAATATGTTTAGTCTACCAAAAGAAATAACAAGAAAATCTATAGATTGAAAGCATAACGATAACTTACCATAATCTTTTCTATAAAGAAAGTATTAAGTGTCTCTGTTTTTTTTTTTTTGCTTGGTTATGAATGAATGTTTCGTATCTTACCATAAAGAATGTAGTATCATATTTCACGTGTGTCCCTGTCCTTTTTGCTTGACAAAGCAGTTTACGATGAATTATGTTTGAAAAATGCATCAATAACATCAATTCGACGTGGAGAGAGAGAGAGAGAGAGAGAGAGAGAGAGAGAGAGAGAGAGAGAGAGAGAGAGAGAGAGAGAGAGAGAGAGAGAGAGAGATTATGGTTGATTTCTATTTTAGAATTGGCATTTGAGTGATGTTGCAAAAATACCATTTGACTGATTCATGTGTGAGTAAATTAGACCCGCCATTGTTTTTAAGGTAATTGTCAATCGCACGTCACTTTTTTATGATGTCACTCTCACTATCATTTGTATCATATGATTTTCATTTATCAGACTTTATGATAAAAAAAAAAGTGGAGTGTGAATAATATTTTTCATTTTTAATTACTATTTTAAAGGATAAATGTTATTGGCACTCCATTAAAAAAGCATAACTACTTTGGCTGGAGATCTTAACAAGTTGGTTGTGTTCCCTCAAAAAAAAAGAAGAAAAAGAAGAAGAACAAAAGGGCTCTGCCTGCTGATGTCCTTGCATAGATAGATATAAACACATAGTTGTATACATAGGACCATATGGGGATGGAATTATTGATGCAAGAAATGCTTAATGATCTATCAAGCTTTCTCAGCTCACGTCTTAAGGTCATTAATTGTTGGAGTCAATCAGAAAGGCATTATTTTGTCTTCAACCCCAAAAGTAAAGTTTGTCTTGTACCATTTTGGAGAAGAAAGATTCAAAACAGTAAGATCCGTCCACATATTTTTTGCTGTTTTAGATGTGATTAGCTTTTGTTGAGGCAAAGTGGCGGACAGGATTAAGTGGACCGTTCACTACTTTTGGTCTTATCCTCATAATTGATCGAATTTTAGAAACTTACAATTATACTCAAAAAGTTTATTCCATTAAAAAGTAAGACCATCTGTCTGAAACAGCTTGTTGGTTAAGTTGAATAACTTGACAAATTTTTCTCTTCCTGGTAGCTTTAATCTAACAACAAAACAAATATGCATATCCTTCTCTCTTTTTTTTTCTTTTTATAATCATGCAATTGATAATCAACCATCAAATGTAACAGAATTTGTTTTGAAATATATTTCACTTGAATTTCTTCAATAACTCCAAAATTTCAGGGTTTTTTTTTTAAAAAAAAAAAGAATTGTACTAAGATTTCATCATTTTCTGACCTATGATCAAAACTATCTTTCATGGAGAACAAGGGGAACAAACCCTTTAATGTCACCATCTGGACAACATTCTTGCTATAATGGGCACTTGAGACAGCAACATTTACCAGGCAGCCATTACCAACTTAGCTATTCTTCATATACATTGCTGGAGAGTTGTTGGAGAGTGGAGACAAGGGCACAGTGGGTTGGACTCTCAAGTCATAGCCATTCATTGGAGGAGGAAAACGAGCACCACATCCTGTGAGTGAAGGATTCAAGCCCACGTCATTGATGAAGGAAAAATGGCCACTTGGACAATCATTTTCTTCAATGATTTCTTCAAGAAAATGTTAAGCAAAACACACAACTACTTGCATCAATTATGGAAGGCCGGATCTTAGTTCTCTTTCAGAAGAGAAACAAGCATTTACAAATTACAACTACCATACTTTGTTCTCAAAATCCACTCCCAGCTGATTCAACAGTTATCTGCATTTTCAAAAGTTTGCAAGTCTCTTTCAAATCCCAGAGGATCATTCCAGCAACTTATATGGCTTTGCATGTTCAGCTTTATAGGAGATTTACTCTACATTTTTTCAGGGTTATTTTTAGTTTTCCATTTAAAACAAGCTGGAGAGAAGTTGATTAGGTAAACATTTTGTAGGAAATAAAAACATCAACTTCCAAGTACAAAAAAGAAATGGACTTGCTATAAAACAGATCCAACTTTTCAGCAGAAAGGGGCCATTATCATTTAAACATACTCAATACCTAAGAGCTATTGTATTTTTGAATGCATGGACTTCTATGAGAAGCATAACTACTTAAAATATCGAGATTGTTCCGATTTGATGCCACTAGAAAAGGAAAGTGGTGGAATTGACATCTACCTTTTGTTTGTGCATACAAGCAGGGCAGCTGACAACCTTCAGATGTGAGCTTCATTCCCCACCATGCGCAGCTGTACCAATACCTTCAGTGTAGAAAACAATTTAACCATGTCTTGTCAACTGCCAAATGACAGACGAATATCCGCCGTTCTCTGCTATATTGGACCTGAGAATCCCAGACATGGTAAATCATGGAAGGAAATCTTCCACAACAGCCACCTGTTTTACTTTTATACCGAAAGCAACTCGTCACTCTATTGGGCAAGCCATGTCCTGTAGACATCAAGGTACCATACAATCATTATGGACAAATCGGAATCCACCAGATCACATTGCACCTACCAGGGAAGAACAAACCATGTTACTGATCAATCATGCATCAGAAAGCTTGCAGAACCAACTATTTTGCACATTGTTTCTTAATTACAATTTTCCCCCCTTTTCCTTAAAATTATCTCCTCAAGACTAGTAATCCCAAAGAACTACATCTCAGAAAACATTTTACATTCTCAAGAGTTAACTAGGCAAAAATATACTAATCCAAATATGTCCAGATAATACTTTCAGCCCTTAAGACAGTTTACCTGGCCACACACTGCATCGCCCTAATCATATAAGAAGATCATTCCAATCTTGGAAAGAAGATCAAACAATATCACGTGGTGTCACATGCAATTACCGTTTATGCTCTAATGCTTGAAACATCTGTTTATTGTGATTCTGCACCATTTGTCTCCAGATGTACAGCATCCTTCCTCCTCCATCATCCTGAGAATATAAAACAATAGGTAAGCTACTACATGCTCTACATTATTTGGTAATGATATAGATGGCGTTTCAACCCAACATCAATAATTTTAAACATGCAAGACAACCTCATGCCGAATTCACAGTCCTGCTTACTATGTTGGTATCAGTTTATTGTTAAGACATATCCCCAGTAAAGCTGCACATTCCAAGACAGGGAATAAAGTAAACCAGAAATATACAAGCATGTGTTTAAGAGGAGAGCCCACACAGTAAATATACAGAAATCATTACAAGTAATTCCTTTGTGATCATTGATGGATGGGTAGAACAACAAAAGTATGACCCAACTACACAGCGGTTGGGAGTATTTTGGGCCCCAAAAAAAAAATCAAATTTTTAAGAAGCAAAATTATTCCATTATCACAATGATACAATCAAGTAGAAAGTTGAAGGTTGAAATTTGGAAATCCAAATATACACCTAAGGAGCAGAATAGTGAGATCGAGCCAAGATCAGCATAACATGGGAATACATCTATTTCTGTACCACAAGTGTTTTGATTTAATGAAATCAAGAATATTTCCATCTAAGAATGGCAAACATGGCTTAACCCAAACCCCCAACCACCCTTGCAGGGAAAAAGAAAAAAAAAAAGGCAAAGACGGTTTTGTTCTGTACTTGCAAATTATTTCGTGGTGAAAATGTAACTGAACTACAGCAACCTAAATGCTAAATATATTATCATGTTGCAGCCCAACTTGACTTCAAACTAATGCTGAGATATCACACTCAATACAACTTGCCAGTGAAAATACTAACAAATTGGAGCATATCTCGTGGAACAAAAATTTCCTCCATCAAGGTTTTCGCAATCAGCAATTCAAGCCCTTTAAATTTGCCAAAGTATTGTTCTTCGCATACAAAAAGTATACTACTGTTGCAGCAAAAGGTAGACATGAAAACTAAAATGGGAAATATATACTCAAAGATAGAACTTAATTGCATTTATGGTATATTATGCCCTGGGCAATAGGAAAGACTTGGAAAGGGCTCCTTCTCCTTCAGGAAGATGATAATGGTTATTTTGCAGTGCATGATTATCAGATTATTTAACCTGGAAGCCAGGCTGTCACTGTAGTCGTTCATCACACTATAGAATATCCCTTGAAAACTTACTCAAAATTGCTAGTAAAAAGTGCAACAGCCACAGCAACAATCTTACAGTGGATAAGTTTTGACTTTACTATTTCAAAGCAAATCTTACCAAGTAGAAATCATACTGAAATCAGCACACTTATGAAGACCATTTATCTTCTTTTACTATTACAATTATTCCTTTGCTCAGAACTATGAGAGTGGGTTGAGGCAGATATGGTCGGGAACAAAGGCTGAGTGAAGGTCATTACCTCTTCTTATGGCTGGTTCTTCATCAATGAACCATCTAATGAGACCAACAACATCATTAATAGTAGATGGCAAAAGACTTTTAGATGAAATTCTAATTATCAACTCAGGGACTGCACAAGAGAAACACGTCAATAAATTGCTGAAATGTTGGTCAATTGCAAAAAACCAATAAAAATTCCTCGAGTTAAATTTAGCAAACTGGTTATATTTTTCTGAAACAATTTTAACCAAAAAAACTTTTCCCAGTGTGAAAACCAATTCTACAGTGCTACATGTGCAGCTATTATCATTATTCTTCAAATTATGCTGGAGTATCTGGACTCTCTAGCATAATTTATTCTTTGATCTTTCTTAAAATGAATATAATCATGGGTCAAAGAGTCATCGATTTACTTTTTTTTTTCCCTAATGTCTGTATTCTAAAAACATGCTTTTTATAGCCTATTGTTATGTTGAATGGTAGAACAGTGGCAAAACAAGATAGAAAAAGGCAACAATAGTATGGCTTAACATCTTAACAGTCCACCTCATGTGCCATTACAACATATTACTCCAATACTCCTGTTATAAAGACCAATAGCGTCTGGTGATATACCAAGAAAGGAGAATCAGCACCTCCAAAAACTGACAAATTAGCCTAGTAGTGGAACAACAACTTGTTGAGGCATTGCACCTCAGTTTAGAAAAGGAGCAAGATGAATCATAAACTCCATTATGTTAACCATTAACTTAACAGAGTACCATTATGTTAGCCATTAACTTAACAGAATACCATTAGAATGCAGTGAGGTCTCTATGAAGTACACATCATCAGTCCAGCCTGATAATTAGGGGTAAAGACCAAATTCTTAAAGACTAAAAATGACAAAGACAGAGGAAACAGCTTAAGTAACATTTAAACCTAACTAGGCAACATCTACCAAGCAAAAACTTAAACCACTGAAGTGACAGAGGCAACCTGTTAAGCTGTAAAAGCACTCCAGCATGACGTATTATGAGATTATTTGTTTAAATTATGATTAAGAGATTATCAGTACTTAGGCATAAAATTGTTATAAGTTGTTAAGAGTAAATAAGAGTGCCTTGACATACCAACAAGGTTGCTTCACCATGGTCTCCATGGTTCAAAATCAGGCAGAGGAAACTTGCATACATTTAGTCCTTTCTAAATCTTGCAGTTGTAGGCTGACTTGGATGGTTATAAGAAGCTGAAAAACAAAGGCCATTCCTAAGTGCAACAAGATTATAATCTACAAGCAACTTAGTCGCAGACATCTCGTGAGTGTACCCTAAATAAGATTATACCAGATCTACTCTTTAAAACCTTTTCAGCCAGGGCCTAGTTGGTTACAGCACATTCTTCTGAAGGAAAATGAAAACACGATCTATAAATGAAACATTCTCAAGTCTGCTTCACTTATTATTAATATCTTTTTTCTGGCCACTGCATCCTGTCTGTTAGGAAGACAAATAAAATAGCTGAAACATGCCAATATCTTGTATCCTCTATATCTAGCCAGCAATAAAAAAAGCCATTCTTATCTAACAGTTTATGCACAATGTTACTACTAGTTAGATTCAATTAATTAAGCCTATCTCAAATGCATCAAATAATATTTCACTATTGCTGGGACTCAACGTCGGTTCTTCAGAACAATTTCCCAAAATTTTAAGGTAAGCATCAATCACCAAGAATGCTTTGGATGTCTTCAAAACCAAGTCGCATATTAAAACCATAGAATTTGCTGAAAAATATATTAGGAGAACCTGATTACCGGACCATTCAAGGTCTAACTGAAGAAAGAGGGCATATCAACAAAGTAGAAGCATGGTAAAGGCTCAGTCAGCTTTAAAAAATTGGAGCTTCGTTTGACGATAGCAAGCTCTGAGATATTGTAGCCAGTGAAGAACCCACACTTCATTTCATACAAAGTTTGCCACAACCCAAGAATCAATCTTCAACCAGAATCCGAAACTTTACTCGTCGTTTAATGCTTCCCATTCTATCATAACCTATACCAATCTTACTATGCATCAATTTCATTGCCAAGTCTGCATTTCCTGTCTTTCTCAAGGCATTGATTAAAATAGTGCGAACCCTACCTGGAACTTCCCGACCACGATCAACTACCCCATCGGCTAACTTGCAAGCTTGTTCTATACGACCTGCTTTGCATAGAACATTAATCATTTCTTCAACAGCTGTCTCCAGGACAACACCCATTGGTGCCAAATCATCCAAAATCTTACAAGCTCTTGCAACTTTACCAGAAAGACAAAGCCCAGTTGAAAGAGCTCTAAAAGAAGCAGCAGTTGGAGTTATGCCCTTATCAATCATTGCATCCCATAACTTTAAGGCCTCTTCATTGCGATGCTCTTTGAACAAGCCAGTTATTAAAATTGTGTACGTATAGACTGTTGGATTACAACCTTCATCTCCCATTCTCTTAAAATATACCAAAGCTTCATCAACTTTCCCAGTTTTAGCCAAGGCATCAATAAGCACATTATAACAATAAGAATCCTGAGGACATCCCTTCTCAACCATCTCATGAAACAGCTTCTCAGCCTCTGCTACTCTCCCTGCCTTTCCAAGGCCATCAATGAGACTTGAGTAAAGCACAGCATTAATAGGGACATTATTACTTTCACAATATTCGAACCATTGCATGGCTTCAACTAACCTACCATTCTTGCATAAACCATTAACAATGACTCCATATGTAACTTCATCTGGTTCAAAACCCTCATGCTTCATACTGTCAAAAATCTTCATTGCTCCTTCAAGGTTCCCATTCTTAACATATGAATCAATTAGAGCAGTATAAATAGCCACATTAGGTTTAGATCCTCTACGACACATATTCTCGAAAACAGCATATGCTTCAAAAGATTTTCCATCTTTACAAAGTCCTCCTATAACTAAGCTATAGGCATGGGGTGGAACCTCCAATTCTTTCTCCTCCATTTCATGATAAAGTCCTAAAGAAGAATTGAAATGCCCCTCTGAGTAACATGCCTGAATCAAGGTCATATACGTGATCTTATCTGGTTCCACATTTTGCACCTCCATTTCTCTAAACTTCTCTATGGCTTTCACAACCTTCCCTGATTTACAATACCCCTTAATCATCGTATTATATGTAACAATGTCTGGCAAAATCTTCCCACCTTCCATAACCTCAAAAACCCGTTCGGCTGACTCAATAAACATGGCATTCACCAACCCATTGATCAGAAAATTATAAGAATACAAACTAGGCTCAACACCACTCTCTTTCATTTTCCTCCACACCCACAACAACTCCTCAACCAATCCTAGATTCCCAAAACTCCTAATCAAAGAATTAGCAGCATTCACATTTATCAAAAAGCTCTTATCTTTCAATTCACCAAAAATACAACTTATTCTATCAAAGTCACTTGAAACAGACAAAACTTCAATCAAAGAAACATAACAATCAAGAGTGTGAGCATAGCCTGTTTGCTTACCAGCCCAGACAAAAAGCCGAAAGGCGGTATCTTTGACACTCTGCTCAGCAAGCTTCTCAGATTTTAGCAAGAAAGCAATAAAATTTGGTGACAATTTGATCAAGAACTTGTGGCAATAAGTGGATAAATTCTGCTCCATGGCTGGTGAACCATCTAAAAGATTGAGAATTTGAGGGACCCATGGGGAAGGCAGGAGGTTTCTGGGGTCTTTAATCAGGTCTGAGAGGTCAGTAAAGGGTTGAACCCATTCAGGCGGTGGGAGAGGAGAGGTATTCGGGAAAACCCACTTGGAATTTGAGATAAAATGTGATTTTGCAGATGGGTTTTTGGGTTTTGGTACGGGAGCAGGGGGTTTGGCATTGGAGTAGTGGTGGTGTTGGGGTATAAGAGATGGTGTGAAGGTGAGAAGGGGTTTATCGAGGGTTTTTCTCATCAGTGGCCTGATTTGTTGGGTGGAGGGGCAAAGAAGAAGATTGTGGTGCTTGATTATGAGCTTCAGTAACAGCAAGGAAATGCAGTATAATCTTCAGTAACAGATGGGTTTTACGAGCTGAGGCTATGGCAAATGAAAGTCGATTTCTTCTGTACGATGATCTGACTAGAGCCGCAAATGAATCTATTTGCTCGTGAGTGGCACGAACTCCACGTTGAGTTAAGTTGATCGAGTCGAATTTGAATTTAAAAATATTAAATTTTTTAATTCATAAATTAACTTAAATTCGAATATATATATATATATTTTATTTTAATAATAAAATTATATATATTTTTAATATTTTATTATTTATTAAAAATTTATTATTTTATTTATTTTTATATTTTTTTAAGTTCGAAGTCGAGTTCAAATTTCGTAAAATTATGTTAAAACTACACTCGATTAGATCGAAATTCAATTCGACTCGAGTCATTTGTATCCCTAAATTTGACTAGCTTGTTTGATCAGAGTGATTTTCAAAGAAGTTAATGCACCTTTTTAATTGAAGGAAAGGAAGAGAGAAGGTAGCAATGGAATAAAAAATTAAAAAGAGAATAGAGGAAAGTGCCTTCTGTCCACTTGTTTGGTCTAAGTATGAAAGGGAAAAAAAAAAAGAAAATATTGAATCTTTATTTAGATTGAAGGGAAAAAAATGAAAGAAAAAGATCAAAGTATTAATTTATTGGAAAAGATAGAGAAAAATTATTTTTAAAAAAAATAAATTATTCCAATTAATTAGTTTTATTTCTCTCTGTTACGATCTATTTTTGAGTAAAATTATAATTTAATAAAACAATTAGACTCTTTTCTCTTTTCTCTTTCCCTCCCTATATTTTCCTTTCTCTCCTTATTTCAAATAACAAAGATTAAATCCTTCCAATTCCTTTTCTTTCCTTTCCTTTCCCTCCTACTTCCTCAATCCAAACAATGTAGTTGAATTATTTTTTAGAACAAAAATATGCCAACCATCAAAGATAGACTGGCTGAATTGTTTTTAGGATAAACATGTGTCAACTTTTAAGATGTTAAGGATTCAAAATCACTATTTATGACAATTTATGATTGTTGAGAATTTCTTACTGCTTGATCAACGCAATTTACAAAGATTTATCATCCTTTTTTTTTTTTTTTTGGAGGAACGAGGATTTATCATCTTAAATAGTATCAACTTTCACTCGTTACAGTCCAACTTTCTTCTTCTTAGTTCTTACCAATTACCATACCATATGAGATTTGTGGTTTTACTTGTGAGTTGTGGCAGCAATTCAAAAGCGTGTTAAGCTACACCACAATTAAACACGTGGAGATCAATTGTCAACGCTCTAGTACGGCACGCTTTCTTCACATCTTACTTGTTCTTTCAAAAGCCCAGAATCCACCATTCCATTTTAGCTGCATTCTAAACTCTGATCTCTCTTTTCCAAATCCTAAGAATTTAACTCACAAACCGATCATGGCTTGTTTAAAGGCCATCAACCATTTCCAGATCCTCTCATCATCGAATTCCACAAAACCGTTAAGTTCAGACGCCAAGAAAACCATATTCACCAATAAAAGTCTGAACTTTGATGCAAAATTTTCGTCTAAAACCAGTTGGCATCAATTACGCCTTGTGCCCGTCAATGTTGTGACGAAAGAGGAAAAAGACTTGGTCGCAGCTGAAACTAGTGAAAAGAATGGTGAGGAGAAAGCAATTAGTGGTGGAGAAGTGAAGGAAAAGGGCAGGATACTATCTACTCTACTGGAGGATAAAGAAAGGTTGCTGAATGCTGCAATTGTACTTGGAGTTGGTACTGTTGCCATTACCAAGTTGCTCTCCATTGATCATGAATATTGGCACGTGGGTTCTCTAGAATTCTCTCTCTCTCTCTCGGGCTGCTTATTGTTTTTTAATGCTCAATTTGGGTGATTTTTTTTTTGTTCTGATGGTTGTTTAGCATATCCAATTAGTTTATTTGTTGATATTTTTGATGGGATAGTCATAAGTTCCGTATTTTCATATATATATATATATATATATATATATATATATATATATATATTGCTCATTTGTTGTACAAATTGATGAAGTGAAAAGGGAAAGATGCAGGATCAAGATTGAATTTTCAAGTTATTGCAGTGGATTCTGTATATTGGAGTTGAAATATCTTGATTACTTTGATTAGGGATGGACCCTTTATGAAGTGTTGAAGTATGCCCCTGAGCACAATTGGATTGCATATGAAGAAGCTCTTAAATCCAATCCTGTTCTGGCTAAAATGACGATTAGTGGGATTGTCTACTCTGTAGGAGATTGGATTGCACAAGTATGGTGTGATTTTAATTTTCAATTCTAGTATTTTCTTTACTTTCTGTTTCAGCTTTGCCTTGCTTTTTGCATACTAATATGGCCCTGATGCAGTGTTATGAAGGGAAACCGCTTTTCGAGTTTGACCGACAGAGGATATTTAGATCAGGTCTTGTTGGTTTCACCCTTCATGGATCGCTTTCTCACTACTATTACCAATTTTGTGAGGTGAGATTTGTGGCTTATATATTTTCTTGTTGCTATTGATATACAAAATTTTTGAGTAGCTGCAAATGCTTTTATTACTTCCACGTGCAGGCTCTTTTTCCTTTCAATGATTGGTGGGTTGTCCCTGCCAAAGTAGTAGTTGACCAAACTCTCTGGTCTGCAGTTTGGAACAGCATCTACTATGTGGTTCTGGGGTTTTTGCGCTCTGAGTCCTCGGCTAGTATATTCGATGAACTGAAGTCAACATTTTGGCCTATGTTAACTGTAAGTACTCTGTCAAACGAATTTATTTGTTACTTGAAGTCCATTTTGTTAAGTTCCAGTATGTGGCCTGTTTTAATGATCTCTCTAATCAAGTTGAGAATTGGAGTCATCATGCAAGATTATGTCCCACCTTCCTAACTTTTGGTCATTTAGTGTAGGACATATCAAAGGCCCCTTGCACTCTCAATGTTGCATTTGCTTAAGATTTAAATCATCAGTTCTCAGGCTCAATTACATATGTCAATTGTCAGATGAATGGTAAATCTATGCAGTAAAGGCAATTATGGTCACTGCATTGTCAAAATTAGTATTTCAACGATCTTCAAATGATTATCTGAAGCAAGATTCTCCCAGAGTATATTGGGAGACATTTCTTTGTCCGATGTATCCTAAATTTGTGCGTGTTTATTATGATAATTGTTATGGCTTTTGAACTGCAAAGTTCAAGAAGTCCCAGTTTTGGTATATACTCTAGGTTGCTGAATTTCTCACAATATAGAACATGGCTTCCACAATTCTAACCAATAGCCCAATTCAGTCCCAGACTGTTGCTGATGTGCTAACTTGTTAGACATACACTGTCAGGTTGAAGTGTTGAAATGAAAAGTCGTCAGTTTGTACTTGTACAGCCTCTGAGAAATACTGCATTTGACACAAATTGTGTTCATCTGGATGTTATGGGGAAAAATAATGAACTGTCTTCATCTCCATGACAGGCAGGATGGAAGCTTTGGCCGTTTGCTCATGTAATCACCTATGGCGTGATTCCAGTACAGCAAAGACTTCTTTGGGTGGACTGTATGGAACTTATTTGGGTCACCATACTCTCAGGGTAAGTATATATTGTGCAGAAGTTCATCACACACAGCCACACTCGAGTACTGGATCTCCCAAATTTTGTTACAAGTATCATCTGCAAGAAAGAAAGTTTAGCTATTTAGTTTGAAATTCTTGTTGTGCTTGAATCTTGCCAGAATTTTGTTTTTCTTTAATGTTATTCCTTTTTTTTTTTTTAACTGTCCCTGGTATTCCCTTAGTGCTTTGAGCATCCAAAGTGAGCATTGATGGGGAAAATGTTGACTGCTTTATATACAATTCTTTATGTGAATGCCTGAGCATTTGAGTGGTTGTTGGCTTGATTATCATGCAAGGACAAAGGCATCTAAAATGGCTATGGTCATGTCCGTGAAAATATTCAGTGTTGATGAACACATAGTTGAATTCAGACAAGTTTGTTGTGGCCTTTTATTTCAAAAAGTTTGGAAGGTGCATTTTGCATGCTCATATGGTGCCGTTTTTCCTTAAGCAGGATCTGTTACCTAATAATGTTTAGTCATAGTAATGCATATGAGCAATAGTTAAGTCCTATCTGTGTTTCATATGTTGAAGGGTATTGAGTTTTAAAATTTGACATAATTGTCTTTTGCTATATTTGTTCTTCTGCAAGAGTTCTTGCAAAAAGTATTAGATCTGCAAACTCTTCTACCCTGCAGAACTGAAAGTTCTTCAAAATGCTTTCTTTGAGAATCACCTTCATACAACTTTATATGTAATTTTGAAGGTTCTCAAATGAGAAATCAGAAGCACGGTTGTCTGAAGCAGCAGAAGATGACACTAGCTAAGCATCAAGCAAACCCAAGGTAAAGTGCAAGTACTAGCCTTGAAGTTTTAATAATGACAATGGACTACTGAATATGCTTTCATTTCTTTGTTGAAAGAAAATGTCAATACGTGAACTAACTCATATTGTGAGGCCTTTTTATCACTGGTCTTCTAAAATGTTTACTTTAGTGCCCATCCTTAGGTTATACGCGATGATATTCTTCCCTTCTTTCATTTGGTAGGAGTATTGGCAAATAAATTGTATTCCGTCATGTGATGCTGGGAATTGAAGAAAGTCTGGGCCAAAAGCACATTCTTTTTCTTTCAGCTGAAAGATTGCTCAGTTAATGGAAAAAATTATGCTATAGCTATACATCTGTATGCCTCTTCTCTGGACAGCAAGAATCTGTCTATTCTTCTTCTTCCCATTTTCTTAGAATTCTACATTCTCTTTTTCCTGTACTCTAGAGCGGTTTTCTCCCAGGTTGGCCTGGTGCTGTTGCAGAAGGGTTAGGGTTTGCTTGGATTGCATTTTTCTGGACTTTTTGTAAAAAAATTACTGTAACGATTTGATATATGTGAGATAAAAAAGTGATTGAAAAATGTGTTAACGATAAAAAATTGCAATCCAAACACACCCTTAGTTAATGATTAGCTGGTCATGCTACTTAGATACGCCATGAGGATGCAGTATATATAAATTTGTAATCCTTTATTTTATTTTATTTTTTTTGCCCTGCTTCTTCTTATTAAAATACCAGAAAAACCATGATAAATATTCAACATAGAGTAGTAGCAGGAAAATTTTCTTGAGTTTGACTGGTTTCTTATACCAGATGATTTTGAAGGAGTGCAGTATAATGTTGGAGATGTAATCCTAACTATTCGAACAAGATAGACTTCCATTCAAGAAATTCAGGATGAAAATCTAATTGCAGTTTCCCTGAATGTTATTAAAGGTGTAAAATATGTTAATTACATGCAAGGCAATTTTGGACATGCATCTTCTTCAGCAACATCTTTTTTTTCTTCCTTTTTTTGTCTTCTTGAACATCATGATATATATACATATCCCTCATGGAAAATTGTCAAGTTTTTCCACTAATTAATTATCTTCTCATCTGTTGAACGAACAATCTTCATCAAGAAATCAAGTTAATCTTCATCACTGCCTTCTGTCTCGGCTTTTGCAAGATTGAGTATGGCTTCGAACATCCAAATGGAGCAAGAAAGACGTATGGGTTGTAAAGATAACTGGTTTTCTTCCCCAAATTGATTGAGCAAAGCCTTGAACATTATGGAAGACAAACATGAAACTGGTATCATGTACTTCTTGGATTCTTCTCCAACATGCACAGGGACAAATCCTTGAGCACTTTTCTTCTTCCTTGTGACATTGTTCTTGCTCTGCTCAGCCTCTCTAGTGGCTGTTTATACACTTTAGCTTTTGCCATCTCGGGTTAAGGGAATAGGGTTTTTCTTTTCAGTGGGAAAAAAGAGAAAGGTGTACGTAAAAATTGCTTATTATGCATTAATTGACCTTCAAAACCTGTGTTATTTATATACATGTCCACTTCAAAACCTGATCCAATCCCATTAGGGGTCAAATTTTACTTGATCTCCGAAATCCAGTGGGAGAAGAAGATTAGACTACCCCACAAGTTTTATTAATCTCCTTATCCCATATTTGTGTATTGGACTTGGAATACAATATGAAATCTATGTAATTAAAGCCCCTTTGAGTTGCTTATAATTATAAGCCAGTGGATTATGAAGCCTGTTGGAGCATTGGATATTTGTTTCCAATATTAAAAATAATCTGATTGGTTCGGTTTTTTATTTGGTTATTATTGAATAATTTCAATTTGGTTTCCTTAGGAAACAAGAAAAGAAAGTTAACATACATCTAATTAACCGACCAAACTTTATTTTATTTTATTTTATTTTATTGTGTATGTACAGACTAATAATTTTATTTTCATGAATACTATCTCCATAAAAGCCAAAACACTTGCTAACTGGCTTTCTACCAAATAAGAATTTTTTTTTTTTTGTGTGTGTCTGTCACCTTTTCCTTAATTCAATTAGAAATGCATAGACTCCAAAGAGGAGGAGGGGTTGGGTTCCAACAAATGTAGAACTTAATTATTCGTGTACTCTAAAATGAGCACAAAAGTTTTTTCTATTTTGTTACATATTAGCTATTTCTAACACATTTAAGGGCTTAGAAAAAGGGCTAAAAGATTTTGAGGGCCCTAAAGTTAAAATTGATTCATGGAGGGTCAGATAGTGGAGCTCAAAAAATGGACAGATATATCGAGGTTCTAAGTTCGATATTTCCAACTTACAAAAAAAAAAACTTAAATTACAGTAATTTCAATTATTTAAAATGTAAATTAACACCATTATTGAAACTTGTGACAATCAGTGATTGGATATAAATTGAAAGAATTGTTCTCCAAAGGGATTGATAATTTTCAATTATTTTATTAGACTAGGTAAGAAGTTCACTAGACTCAATAAGTATACCAAATTAGAAATGCTGTCTTGTTTGGATTGTGATTTTCTACCAAAAATTTTTTACATTTTTCATGAACATATTTCTCAATTATTTTTTTTTACTTCACATATATCAAATCGTTACAATATATCTTTTTATAAAAAATCCTAAAAATAGCAATCCAAACGTGAACGAATCATCTTTTCCTTTCCTGTATATGTATATGACATTCGGATACTAAATGAACTCAACATAGTGTAAATTTTATCAAATAAGGGAAAAAAAAATTTATCATTGTCACATCAAAAAGTTAGCCGAATTATGTATCAAGGATTTGGATTCTTTGCAGTTGCGCTTGCAGTAACAGAAGAGGACGATGAACAGATTTAACAATTGAGCCAACCTCGAACTAATCTCGGCTATTGATTTGAATCTCATTTGAGGCCCATGGCTCTTAATCCTTAACTGCACAGGTTAAATATTTCTTCCTTTTCAAAACATAATTCATAATAATATGTTCCACAAAGACTTCACCCAAAAAAATAAAAATCCAGAAAGCAGAAACGAATATTTAAAAAAAAAAATTTCAATTCCGCACAAATTCCAAACACATGCAGGTCACGTGACTGCCGATCAGTGGGCATGCTGACAAAACAATACTCCAACAAACGCTTAGAGAAATCCTTCAGTCCGAGGCAGATCTTTAGACCTTGAAAAGATGGCAGAGATTGAAGAATTTCAGGAACCCACAAAGCAGAAGCAGACAAAGAATGTGAAGAGAAATCATGGATCAACAAAGTTCTTCGTCTTTGTAGATTACCTTTTCTTGATAGTCTTCTTTGGTTTCCTCTGTTTTTTCCTCCTCAAATTGATTGGATTTTGATTTATTGAGGTAATTATTCCTAGACCCTTTTTCATTTCTGACGATTTTTGGAGAGGCCCTTTTGGTCAAAGATTGAATTTTTAGCAAATCTGAAGGCAATTTGTGTACTATCTGTTTGGTCTATGATTTTCCTGTGCATCCATATTCCACACTTTTTTGAAGTATCTGTTCGTTCAGTATTTCTACATTTTGTCTGATTTCTATGCAAACTTATGTGTTTAAATATACTGATAAACGGTTGCCTAGATTTTCTGTTGAATTTTCCTTCTGAATTGAAATACAAAAGAGAAACGCTGTTGAATTTTAGTAGAATAGTGAAAATTCATGTAAAAGATGATCTGATGTTACAAGACAATGACTTTAACTTCGGTTTTTGAAGGGCTTAACTATCGATTACAATTTCAATTAAGCAACTTGAAGAAAAGGGGAAAAAAAGTATGCTCATGGTGAGGGAGGGCTTGTTTAAGTTTAACGGAATTTTCTTTCATATGTTGTACTTTAGATTAGATGATGATGGTGACTTTTTACGTATAAATTGTTTTTTGATCTGTTATGCTTTAACTGAGTGTAATTTCCCATTAGGATGATGATACAGCTAAGAAGAAATGCATAAATTTGAACCTAACCAGTCATGCTGAAATGCTTTTCTATGCGTAATTGATATTCGTGCTGATTATGCACATTTTTTAGTATGATAAATGTAACCCTTCAATACTCAAAAGTGCAAATTTTAAGGTACTAATAGTACATTAAAAAATGCTGATTAGGGACATTCTTAGTATTAAAAGTGTAGCTCTTTAACTTTTTGGTCATTAGTAGTGAGTGAATGAACTGCAGCAATCGTCTTTCTGAGATAGATCTATTGGCTAGATATGGATGGTACTTTGATTACGGCACAATTCAAATCCTTCTTCCTTTTGTGATCTAATACCACCCAATCAAATCCTACACTTTGTGTTTTGAGTTAACACTGTGGTGGAATGAGCAGTTAAGATATGTGGATGTGATAGTAGAGTGAAGTTTGATCTGCAGTAAGCTCCTTGAATTATAGGAGAAGATTTTCTTAGTTGAACTATGACCCTTCATCTGGATGAATTCATACACTTGGTGACAACTTTGTTTTGTTTCTGGTAATTGACCCATAACTACGTTTGACACTAGTATTCCTTAGGAATTGGTGATTCTTAGATTTCATGTAGTGTTAACTAATTGACAGCAGTGCAGTTCCATATGCTGATATCTGTGTTCTTGAGAGTTTTCAGTAAATCTAAAACTCATTTATCACGTGGTTGCCCCATGTTAACTCTACAAAAGGGAAGACCTTTACTTCTAAGACTTAAGTAGGAATGCATAGCATTCCATCAATTATATGATTACATGGAGTTGAAGCCTCTGAAATGGACTTTGACGCCTCAGCTATAAGAATAATACCTAAGAAATAAGATGAAATTCATGAAAAGTGTGGAGGGTTGTACATTTATCTGTAAACATCTGTTAATAGGAAGATGGCCAATTTCATGCTTCATGTGCTTGTAGTGCAATGGTTTACATATTTTAGAACAACATGAAGAACCCTTTTCTTCTGCTTTTACCACATTGCTGCCATGTTCCTCTCCCTCCCCCTCTCTCTCTCTCTAAAGTTATAAACCTTTCATTGGGCATTTTAGATATCTTGGTAATTATGGTGACCTTATGCCTCCTTCAAGTCTACGACAGATTGTCTCTGCATAAGAAAATTTTCTTATTTAACAGTGTGACTGATCAGATTCAAGTTCACTTAGATCTTTCAGACTCTTTTATTCTTTTTCTTTTTTCAGTTAATATGCTAAGTAAAAGTTGCTGGCTTTATCTTATTTGGTAATCTGAGAAATGGAAATAATATCCCAATTGATGACACTATTGAAGGTGAAGCACTATGATATTCAACTTTACAAGCTTCCAGCAAACTTCTAGCTGATAAAAAATGCACCTGAAGTTTTGTGACTGGATAAATGACAAAGCTAGTTGTGCTGTAAAAAATTATTGACCTGAATGTGAATTTGTTTTCGCTTGAAAGTAAATTAGGTGAATCCTGGAAGTTTTTCTTCTATGAAAAGCTTCTTGTCATGTGCTGAACTTTTGCTAAAATGTAGCCCTACTGCTTTCTCAGGCACTGCCTAATGTTGGGCCCTTCCGTGATGCCTATGACTCCATTGCTTTGTCTAAATTTTGCAACTACTTTTCCTAGCCAGGCTTGTTTATGAGGTTTTTTTTTTTTTAATTTCAGATATACGGCAAGTCCAAGCAGCATAGAGAACCATTAAACATTGCAGATTTGGTGATTCCGGAATGTGTTCTTGACCATGTCTGGTTAAATATCATTCTATGTCGTTTTTATATTTGAAGAACTCATTAAATTCTTTGATAAGCGATCATAGTTTTTTGTTTTGATTAGTCATCTCGTACAAGCTCAGTTGTTGACTTTGTATGATTGAGTATTGATTCACTTAGTATGATGTGGGAAGTTAAGTTCTTTGATTTTGCCTTGAGAAAAATGCAATAGCTCTTTTGACATATCTATGGAGCAGTAAAAAACAGTGTACGCGATTATCCTATCTAGATAATTGAGGATCTTTGTAACTCCTTTTGCATTAAACATTTGTTACTGCTGAAGAACTTGGATGCAAAGATGAAAAGGGCATTGCCCTTGGCAAACATGAACTGCAGGGCATATCCCTCTTGAAACTAACAATTCAAGCAATGTCTCTTTCTTGGCAGTTGGAAGAGCGATGATCAAGTAGAAGGGTTCATTGATGTGTATTAATGAAGGGTAGATGACATTAATAGAGACGGAGAGGGAACCTTGTCTTTGTGGTGGGGAAAGTCTTGAACAGTGGAACTGACTATATTACCAGTCAGGATTTGTCACATTGTCTTTTGAGTGATAGGGATGCTTCCAAGGTTGTAAAAAACCTCCAAAACTTTGGTTGCTAATTTATGTACAGAAAACAATTTTTGATTCATAAATATATGGCATCTAAAATCATGTGACTCCAGATAAGTACCATGCATTTTATTAAGGATGTGTCTAGATCGTTTAACGACTTTTTACAACCTTTTGTGCTATTAAATTTAGGGTAAATTACATACGTCTCTGTGGTTTTGTACAATGCCATATGACCCCTTTAAAGTTTCAAAATAACCATATAACTCCTTGTAATTTTATGTAAAGTGAAAAAATATCGAATGCTCAATCAATCAGGGCGATTATAGGAGGCACACCCTAAATGATGTTACATAAGTTTCGACTTTACATGTAACATATAGGGAGTGAAATGAACATTTTGAAAAAATGAAATGATCATATGACAAAAGATGAAACCACAGG